AGGCGAAATGAGATCTATACGTCATTCTGAATTAAGGAGAAGGTGGTAGGGTTACTGGGGCTTCAAAGAGAAAGAATACAATTCATAGGAGGATGAAAAAGAGTAAATGTTCGGTAATCAAATGTTTTCTAGGCCGCTCAGAAACAATGGAATATACAGGCCTTTGGTCAAACCGGCCTCGTTAGGTTCCTTCCTGTCTTCCATACCTAATTCATAGCATAATGTAGTCACTAATAGTGATAGCTGTCTTTCTGGAGCAGGCCCTCTATCTAAATTCTTTTTAGGCATTTGGTAAGAAAAGTGGGTAAAGAGGTTTTCCTTAATCTGCTGGGTTTTGATTGTCTTTTTTCTTTTTTAATGATTATTTAGGGGGGGCGCAGAGAGAGAGAGAGAGAGAATCCCAAGCAGGTATTGCACTGTCAGTGCAGAGCCTGATATAAGGATCAAACTCCCAAACTGTGAGATCATGACCTGAGCCGGAATCAAGAGTCGGATGTTTAACTGATTGAACTGCCCAGGCTCCCCTTGCCTTTTTTTTTTTTTTTTAATCTTTCCTTCTTTTCTTTTCTTTTCTTTTCTTTTCTTTTCTTTTCTTTTCTTTTCTTTTCTTTTCTTTTCTTTTCTTTTCTCTTTCTTTCTTTCTTTCTTTCTTTCTTTCTTTCTATTTACATCCAAGTTAGTTAGCATAGAGTGCAACAGTGATTTCAAGAGTTCAACTCAATATAACGTTCATGCCAAAGTGGCCCGTCTTAAGATGGCCTGCCCTTGGGTCCTTTAGTTCACAAGGATGACCTCACACAGCTCCTGGGCTGGAAGAGCCAGCAGTGTGTTGGGAGAGGCACACATGTGGCAGATGGTAAAAGTGGTGGCAAGGGAACTTTCTAGGGGGGGTGGAAGTGCTTTATATCTTGGTAGAATGTTGGTTTGCTTGGGTGTTTGCATATACCAAACTCATTAAGCTAAATGATTCTGATTTGTGCATTTCACTGTAAATTTCACCTAAACACTGTAGAAAACAGGAATGCTCTGGGAAGACTGTGCCTGGCTGGGCTTTGGCAGGGCACAATTGTTGGGAAGTGGGCCAGGGGTAACTAGATTACCCATGGATACAATTGAACCTTTGCTAGTGGGATATGGTTGAAAAGTTTTTCCATGGAGGCTGTGGGCCCAGACAGTCCAGTGGCCGTGATGCTCAGAGTACCTGGGGACCACAGAGGAGGGAGGCAGGGATCGCTGCACGTTTCAGGAGACAGATATCTCAGCTGAGTCTGCAGGGTGAGCAGTTGTCAGAGAAGGGTGGACAAGTGGAGGGTGGTTTCTAAGCACTGCTCTGTGAAGTGTGGTTGCCCAGCGTGGCCTAGATAGAAAGGGGTAGAACCAGGCTTTCAGCTGCTTCTCTAACCCCAAGTCCCATCAGTGGGCCTCAGAGAAATTCAGGCTGGTTGGATATTTTTTTAAATAAACTTAATTAATCTTATTTTGTTTTTTAAGTTTTTTAATGTTTATTTATTTATCGAGAGAGAGAGAGCAAACTGGGGGGGGGGGGTTGGAGGACAGAGAGAGAAGGAGAGAGAGAATCCCAAGCAGGCTCTGCGATTTTAGCGCAGAGCCCAATGTGTGACTTGAACCCAGGAACTGCGAGATCATGATCTGAGCCTAAATCAAGAGTCCGACACTTAGCTCATGAGCCACCCAGGTGCCCCTATTTATTTATTTTTTATATTAAAATTTTTTTTAATGTTTATTTATTTTTGAGAGAAAAAAAGAGAGAGAGAGCAAGGGAGGAATAAAGAGAGGGAGACACAGAATCCAAAGCAGACTTCAGGCTCCGGCTCTGAGCTGTGAGCACAGAGCTCAGGCCCACAAACTGCAAGATCATGATCTGAGCCGAAGTCAGATGCCTAACCAACTGAGCCACCCAGGCGCCCTCCTATTTATTTTTAAAAGTAAACTCTACTTCCACTGTGGAGCTTAAACTCAGGACCAGGAGATGATCCAACTCTGCATTGACAGCTCAAAGCCTAGAGCCTGCTTCAGATTCTGTCTCCCTCTCTCTCTACTCCTCCCCCACCTGCACTCTGTCTCTCTCTCTCTCTCTCAAAAATTAAAAAAAAAAAAGAGAGAGAGAGAGAAGGGTGAAGTATTGCAGGTTTAACACCAGCTTTGAAATCAGACCAGCCTGGGCTAGAATCCTGCTTCTGCTACCGAACTGGCAGTGTGACCCTGGACAAGTCACCCCCTCTGAGCCTCCCTGACACTTCTCTGTCCATTAAGCATAATTATGATGGTAGTAGGCCTAGGACAGAACCACCTCATGTGGTAGTGACAGTAGCACTGAGTAGAGGGGAGCCTGGGTGGCTCAGTAGGTTGAGTGTGGAACTCTTGATTTCGGCTCAGGTCATGATCCCAGGGTTATTGGATTGAGCCCTGCAGCCGGCTCTACGCTGAGCATGGAGCCTGCTTGGGATCCCCTCTCCCTTTCTAAAAAATAATAATAATAACAACAATAAAGCACTGGGTACATAGCAGGCACTCAAGGGTCAGACAGCAGCAGGGACAGACAGCAGTCGTTATAGCTTGATTGAGACCAAGGATCGACTGGGCTCTGGACACTGCAATCCCCTGGCAGAATTTTCTGCACTGCACGGCTGTTAGCCTCCCCAACGCCCACCTCAATTCTAGGTCCACTTGGACGTGGGGTGGCTCAGCAGCGCCCTCCCTCATCAGGCCCCTCTCTCTGATTCCCATGTTGGGGGTGGGCCCTGAGCTACCAAGCAAGGTGCTGTTAGGAAAGTTAGGCAAGTACCATTCTAAGCTCTGACCACCAGTGCCCAGTCCTCTATAGGAGTCAGAGGGGCTCAGCTGGCCCAGGGCCGCCTCCTCGGGGTGCCCTCTCCTCCCTCTCCTCTTTGGGGCACACTCGCTTGCCTAATTGCGTCTCCCCAATTCCTGATCCTGAAATGAGAGGTGGTAGAGGGCGGACGCTTGCTAAAGAAATGTTTTATTTTGCTGCATCTGGGACAAACTGATCATTCCTGCTGGGCGAGTCCTGATGGAGAGGAAAAATGTGTGTCTAGTTAAAAAAAAAAAAAGAAAAAAAACCACAAACAAACCAAAAAAAACAAGTTTTAGAATCTGGTTACCAGATAATGTCTTTAGCATTGTTTGAGTTCCCATTGTTTGAGATTCCCAGGTTGAGTGACCTGCTCTTTTGTTTCACTGTTAATTTGCAAACCTCTTTTTATTTTTGTGGTGATGGGGCCAAATTTAGCCAAGTGAGGCTCAAATGTGGAGAACAGTGACTCCTGTTCGTCCTTGTGTCCTTAGTCATGCACAGAGTCCAGAACCTAAAGGCTACCCTGGTTATGTGCCAGTGCAGACTAGAGTGGGTAAACCTTGCTAGGGTGGGAGTGGGGGCTGGGCGAGGAGTGGTGATGTGTGGTTTAACTTCCCAGGCCCCTGCCAGCCCCAGCATGAGTTCAAGGGGGGCGGGGGGGGCGGGGGTACTTCCTGAGGTGCCCAGCACCCGGGGCTGAGGTCCCCTAGTAAATTCTCTTTGTGGGGAAGAAAAAGAAGTCTAGGTTTACCGAGTATCTATTTGCTAATTAATTTTATGATCTCAATTAATCTTTGCTATTATCTTTATGTCCATTTTACAGATTGGGCACAGTGAGGCTCCAGGAGGTTAAATACAGCCAGTAAGCAGCTAAACCATTCAACTCCTTCCATTCTATCAGGTTATCTGCCCAGCCTCTGGCTCTTGGGGTGACAAGGCTCTTACTGATATTACAACCCAGACTACCCTATTTTTAAGGCCATGGAGACACTCAGATGCCTGCTAGTTTGCATTCTCTGAAGAGAACTTTCTATCTTGCTCTGGCCCAGAAATTTTTAACACATGAATTGACTTAGTTTCACTGCCCGAATTGCTGCCTTCTGGGTAGGGCCTTGACCCTAAAGCCTGAGCCCTATCTTTGATGAGCCTGTGGACCGGCCCTGGGCCAGAGCCTGGACCCTTGTCCAGGACAGACAAGCCAGAGTCCCAGGCTGAAGAGCACACGTGGGGCTGAGTAGCTGGGTGCCCTCTTTGTCCCGGGATGCACACAGACTCTGCTTCATACCTCTGCAAGTATTCAGAAAGAAATGGAAGCTTCCCTTACACTGCCCCTACTTCCCTTTCCTGTGTGACCTGGGTCCCGTCCCTGTGCAAGCCACCTGTGCTCCCAGGGCCTCGGCCTCCTAGTAAGTGTGCGAGCAAGTTGGACCTGACTAGCCCTAGGGTCCTATGATGTAGGCAGGATGGCCCCCCGGGTTGGGCCAGAACCACCCTTCTTTTTATTTTTATTTTTTAAAGTAGGCTCTATGCTCAACATGGGGCTCAAACTCACAACCCTAAGCTCATGAGTCGCATGCTCTACTGAGTAAGCCAACCAGGCGCCCCGAACCACCTTTCATTTTACTGCTGACCCTCACTCAGAGCACCCAGTGCCCAGACTGCGTGTCAGTAAACATCTGGTGAACAAGAAGATGACGGAAGGTAGACTCCAGAGGTATTTGGCCTCCAGGACACAGCAAAGAATGTTTCCTAGACCCCAGACACTCCCTCATTAGTTCATTAGGGAGCTTAAAAAAAAAAAAAAAAAAGAAAGAAAATCAAATGGATGCATTCAAGGCTAGGAGAAAAGACAAGTCTGGGGGAGGAGGAAAAAGTCAGGGCAGAGGCAGTGACCCCACCCAGGAAATGTGACTAACCCACAGAGGCCCCGGGCCGGCAGACACACACGTCAGCCCGAGGCTGGTGAGTGTGGTAGTCTTCCTGGGGCTCGCCCTCCTTGCAGATCCCGGACTCAGAGGCGGGCCGGCCCCTCAGCCCTGTCCCCCTCGTGGGAGGGGACAAGGGTCTGCAGGGTTGGGGCAGAAGGGCGGGGCGCGGGGAGCAGGTGGGCGGGGCAGCCCGGGAGGGGACCTCGGGAAGTGAGAAGCTGGGTGGGGCGGCCCGGGAGGCAGAAGAGCCAGAAAAGCTGAAGAGGGAGGAAGGAGAGCTGCGGAAAGGTGAAAGTGGCCAGGTGGCTGAGGGAGAGTCGGCCCCTGGGACTTGCTGGCTGGGACTCTCTTAGGGGGTGAGGGCTGGCCGCCAGGGTCTGGAAACAGACTCGCATTTCTGGAAGCCGCTTTATCCCGGACTCCTGTCCCTCCTGGCAGCTTTGTGCCAGGCCCTGGGTACATTTATTGTCTGTCTGGAGCCCCACGGTTGCCCCGGAGGAAGGTGGGTTGGGCTCGGGATACAGACAAACAACTCCTGGGTCAGGCGTGTCCCGGGCTGGTGGGAGAGGTAGTGCCCCACCTTCTGCCAGATTTGAGGATGCCTGTCCCTAAAACGCGACTGGCCTGACGGTAGACAGGTGGGCTGCAGTGCTTGGGGGAGGGGGAGAGCAGGCCTAGCTTTGGAATTCAAACTGCAGCACAGCCATTGTTTTGCAAATTCAGCAAGGCTTCTGCTGGGGTCTAGTGGTCGGCCTGGGGCAAGGGAGAGGGGAGAAGGAGGGAGGGGAGGGTGGAGGAGGGATCTCACTTGGTGTCAGGGGAAAGAGCACTGGCCAAGGAGTCCCCAGGCCAGGCCTCTGGACCCAGCTCCCTTCCCAAATGTCCGTACCCCAGGCTGGGAAGCCCTGCAGCCATTTCCTGTGTTGACACTAACCCCCCCCCCACCCTTTCTTGGGGAGAGGGGTAGGGGCTGTTTCATTTCACAACTAGGGGCCAACGGACTGTGAGGTGAAGGGACTTGTAGGGATCAACAGAGTCAGCGTCTGAGGAGGGCAGAGAGAGCCCCAGAGGATGACTGTCGCTCTGACAGTTGTCAAGCATTGCCTTAAAAGTATGCATGATGGCGGCACCTCCCCCCTGCCCCCAGGTCCCCCAGGGTGTCCTCAAAGGCAGGTCCCTTCCTGAGTCTGGGCTGTGGATGCTCCGTGTGCATCCTGCCGAACCCCAGGCCCCTGGCCTGTCTCACCGGATTCCCCAGCCTCAGCTTCTGCCTCCGGGGCCGCTGCAGCCTGTCGCAACCTGTGAAGTCCCCACCCTTTCTCTTGGGCTCCAGCTGCTCTAGTGAGTCCCACAGGTCCTGTGCCTCTGACGCGCCCTCTGAGCACCTGCAGGGCGCAGGGTGCTGGGCACAGGGTGGGGCTTGCAGCGGCTGGAAAGCTTTCCCTGCTTCCCTTCCAGGAGCTTTGGCCAGTCTATTAAATTGATAGAAGACAGATTGCCAGGAGAAAACCAAAAGCTTAATAATTGTGTATACCTCTGGAATACTTGGGAGAGATCCAGGAAAACTTCCCCAAATGAAGCCGTCACCTTAAATACCATCTTCTGCTCAAGACAAAAGATGTTGGGGGTCAGATATGGGAGGTTCCTGGGAAAGGCGTGGTAAACAAGGGCAAGATTGTTATGCAGATTTAAGTGGCCGATTTCTCCTTTGGTCAGAGGAGAAGCTGGGTGGGGCGGGCAGGGAGGCACTGGAGCCTGAAAAGCAGAACTAAGCAAGGAGAGCTGCAGAAGGGTGAAAGTGGCTAGGAGGCTGAGGCAAGAGTGTGTTCCTGGGACTTGTTGGCTGGGACCCTCCTAGGCGGGTGAGGGCTGGCCGCCAGGGTCTCCCTCCCTCATCTAGTGTGGAGATACCCTCACCCATGGAGATTTCCTTATAAATGTAGACATCTCTTACATAGGGCAACTTCTCTTGGTTTTCAGAATTTCACCTGTGTCTGCTGCTTCTTAAAAATAGTTTAAAAAAGGAAAGAAAAATAGCCAGTTTAAAATATAATCATCAGGCCAAAGAGGCCTATTTTGGGGTGGTAGTTTTACTCCCCTTCAGGTTCCAGCTAGAGAGGCAAAATATAGTCTCTGCGCAAATTTATAGTCTAGTAGGGGAGGCTGGCAGGTCCATAACTCAGTGCACTGCGGGGAGTGGGAGGAAGCAAAGATTTTAACCTATGAGGTATATATAGAGGAAGCTGCCTTGTGAAGTGGTGAGTTCCCCATCACCAGAAGTGTTCAAGAGGAGGATGGTGAGGGATGCCATCGAAGGGATTCCTGCACTGTGTGTATGGTCATGTGTTGGGAGGCAGATGTAGAGCATTTAGGTTCCTTCTAATGCCGACATCTGTGATTCTGTGACATTCCCCACCTAGGGGAAGTATGTGGCCCCACCAGGGTGTGATGGCTCCCTTACTTCTCTGCCCCCTCCAGTCAGACCATGAGACGTGGGTTGTTCTTCCTCATTTCTATGCTCCTACCATCCTCACACCCTCATTCTGGCCAGTGCCAAGTTCCCAGGGTAGACTGCGCGGGGAATTGAATAGACCGTGTCGTGGGTAGCTTGAGGAGTGCAGGGGGTCAGGCAAGTCCGCTGCTGCGGCTGGGGCGGGAAGCTGTAAGACAGCCTGCAAGCAGAGACTGGGGTACACGCTCCTGAGTGAGGGGGCTGGGAGAAGGCTGAGGCTACCGAATGTCCTGGAAGGCTCCTTGGACAGCGGGGGTTTGGTATGGGCCTGGAGGGCGGTGTGGCATGGACGGATGTGAGGGTGGGTGTGCTTACTGGGAAAGCTCCAGGAGCTGTGGGCTTGGGCCAAGCGGCTGGCAGGGAGAGCAGTGAGAAGTCCTCGTGTCCGGGGGCTCCTTACCTGGGAGAGCCTGGAGGGGCAGGGATCTGATGGGACAGGCGCAGTTTCAGTCCCAACTGAGTCACCTGGGACTTCTCAAACCCAGTGTCCAGGCTGCATCCCAGAGAGTCCGATTTTAACTGGTTTGGTGTGGCCAGACATTTGGGATTTTTTTGAGCTTGATGATTCTAACATATGGGCGAGTGTGAGATGTCTTTCTGGACAGTTAACTGGCAGCACAGAATCACCTGGAACATATGTTCAAAATGGAGATGCACAGGCCCCGCTCCACACCTGTGGAATCAAAATCTCCAGGCCCAGAACGGACACATGTGTAGTTTTTATAGGATGCCAAGGTAATCTGAACAGGCTGCCAGGGTGATGAAGTAGCAGGTGGCCAGGCCCCTTTCATCAAAACCTTGCAGTGGCTCTGAGAGGCCGGTAGTCCCACGGCGGGACTACGTGCTTTTGAGCTGTGGCCCGAGCTCTCGAATTGGTAACACAGAAGGAAAAATAGTAAAGCTAACAGTTGACCCGCTTGTTCACACCATCCCTGTTCCCAAGCTCTCTCCGCTGGCTTGGGCGTGGGGCAGCCGCCTCACCTCTTCCGACCTGAGTCACAGGCTGAGCCACCCGCAACAGGGGATGTGGGCACAGCATGTGACCTTCTGTGGAAAGGAAAAACATGAAAGCTTCCCTCCCCCTCACTTCCCCCTCACTGCCTCCTGCTTTGGGAAGTGCGGTTCTGAAAACTGCCTCCAGCAATGTTGTTAGTTAGGGGTGGAAAAGAAGTCATGATTCACAGGGCATTTTACCTCCCTTATCGCTGCTGCTCGCGTTTCTGCTGTTTTCCACTCAGACCTAACACCCTCTGCTCTCCTGCCCATCCCCTAAAGAGGGTTCTTGGCCCTTCCTGCTCCCTCAGGCCCTAAGAATCTCCCCAAGGTGCCAGTCTCCCCAGGTGCCCCCTCGTCTTGAAATCCCGCCCCCAGGCCCTTACCCTGTGTCACAGAGGCTCACCTTACAAAAGTGCTGTTCACGTGCACAGCGTGAATGGTGTTGCTGTGGTTGGTAGTGTGGGCTGTGCATTTTAAGCCAAAAAAAAAAAAAAAGAAAAAAAAGAAACTCTCTAGTAATGGGAATATAGGAAAGAGACAGTGAGTGCAGCTGTAGTTACTGCATTTGCTGAATTAAATATATATATATATATATATTTTTTTTTTTTTTTTAATGTTTGCCTTTACCATTTTTCCCCTGGGTAAGTTGTCCAAAAAAGTTGCTCGTTGAACCTATAGAATAAACATGATGTTTGAGGGGTTGGGGAAGAAAAATTTCCTCTGCCCCTCAAGGTCCTTCTAGCTGGACTTAGAATCATATTGACATGAGACAGATTAACAGGAGAAAATCACATTTAATGGTATACATATGGGGAATCCACAAAGACCTGGAAATTCTAGACACAAGGGAGCAACAAGCCTCATAGAAGCTAAGGAGAGGGGTGGGGTTGGAGGATACAAAAGGGGAGAAAGACCATTAGCAGAAAGGTGAAAGGAGATGCTTGGAAAAAACAAAGGTTAGCCTATTATGTAGGTAAGTTTCTTAGGTAAAGAAAAATGTGTTAAGAGCCCTTTTCCTGGGATAAGCAGGCAGATTAGGCAGAGATAAACTGTTTTCCCTGAATTGGTTGGGTTTTGATTGCGTTTAACTCAAAATAATGTTCATACTAAAGTGGCCCATCTTGGCGTGGCCCGCACTTGGCCCCTACAGAGGCGTCTGAGGGAAGCTGGGCTCAGAGAAGTGAAAGTTGATACTTGGGAATGTGTGGGATTCCCCAGGAAGAGTTGAGAATTAGGGAAGGAACTGAGCAAAATGTGAGCACTGGGGATTTTGTGTTTCTGTGTTTGTTTTTGGTAGGTGCCTTTTATCAGGTTGAGGAAGTTCCCTTTTATTCCTATTTTGATGAATGTTTTTTTGGTTTTATTTATTTATTTATTGTTTTTTTTAGTCAGGAATGGATGTAGAATTTGGGCAAATGCTTTTTCTTTTTCTTTTTTTTTCTTTTTTAATTTTTAAATGTTTTATTTATTTCTGAGAGAGAGAGACAGCAGGAGCAGGGGAGGGTCAGAGAGAGAGGGACACAGAATCCGAAGCAGGCTCCAGGCTCTGAGCTAGCTGTCAGCACGGAGCCCGTTGCGGGGCTCGAACCCATGAACCGTGAGATCATGACCTGAGCCAAAGTCGGACGCTCAACTGACTGAGCCACCCAGGCGCGCTGGCAAATGCTTTTTCTGAATCTATTGTGATGGTTAGATACGTGCACACACATATATTGCCAATGCAACATACACATATATCCATATAGATGTATATACATATTCATACATCTATATGTATATATTGTCAGTGTAAACTGAACAAACCTTTTAGAATCTCTAAAAGAAAGAAAGAGTTTTATTTGAGCCCAAGTTAGGACAGCTGGACAGCTACCCGAGAGACATTCTTCACAAGGAAGTGCTCTAGAGAATGAATAGCCTTTACAGGATTATATACTTTTCTATATCTTGCAAAAGCTTGAGAGATTATAGATTAGCATATAGGCAGGAACCGTGAGGTTTTTTTAGATAATTTTTTTTAAGTTTGTTTATTTATTTTGGGAGAGAGAGACAGTGTGAGTGGGGGAGGGACAGAGTGAGAGGGAGACAGAGAATCCTGAGTCTGACCCACTCAGCCACCCAGGCGACCCCAGATTTCTTTCTAAGTCAGCATGACTGTATGTAAACTTTATTTAAACCAAAAACCTGTAAGTGAAATAAGGCAGTCAGAGAAAGACACATATCATGATTTCACTCATATGTGGTATTTAAGAAACAAACTAGATGAACAAAGGGAAAGTGGGGGGGGGGTTGAGAGAGAGAGAGAGAAGCAAACCATGAGACTCTTTTTTTTTTTTAATTTTAACATTTTATTTATTATTGAGAGACAGGGAGAGACAGAGCATGAGCAGGGGAGGGGCAGAGAGAGGACGAGACACAGAATTGGAAGCAGGCTCCAGGCTCTGAGCCGTCAGCACAAAGCTGGACGCGGGGCTTAAACCCATGAACCGTGAGATCATGACCTGAGCCTAACTCGGGTGCTTAACCCACCGAACCAGCCAGGCGCCCCGAAAACCATGAGACTCTTAACTATAGAGAACAAACTGAGGGTTGCTGCAGAGGAGGTGGAGCAGAAGGATGGTATAAATGAGCCATGGGTATTAAGGAGGTACTTGTTGTGATGAGCGTTGGGTGTTCTATGTAAGTGATGAATCACTAAACTCTACTCCTGAAATCAATTTTACCATACGTTAATTAACTAGCATTTAAATAAAAACTTGCAGGGGTGCCTCAGAGCCTGGAGCCTGCTTTGGATTCTGTATCTCCTTCTCTCTTTAACCCACCCCTGCTCATGCTCTCTCTCTGTCTCTCAGAAATAAAAATAAAAAACATTAAAAAAAAAAACCTTGCTATTAAAAAACAAACAAAACAAAACCCAAAATCCTGATTCATGGCCCACCCATACACTGTACACCTGCCTTATAAATGAGTAGCCTAAAGGAAACCGTCTTTGGTTACCTTGGTGGCTCAGTGGGTTAAATGTCCAGCTTTAGCTTCAGGTCATGATCTTGTGGTCTGTGGGTTTGAGTCTCGTGTCAGGCTCTGTGCTGACTGCTCAGAGCCTGGAGCCTGCTTCAGATTCTGTCTCCCTGTCTTGTATGCCCCTCCCACCCCTCAAAAATAAGCACTAAAATTTTTTAAAAAATATAGGAAGCCATCTTGTCCTTAAGATATCAATCAATTCTCCTACTCCCTGCATTCCTTGACATTAAAACTCATGGTTCCGGGGTGCCTGGGTGGCTCAGTCAGTTAAGCATCTGATTCTTGTTTTTGGCTCAGGTCATGATCTCACGTTTTCATGGGTTTGAGCCCTGTGGCTGGCTCTGTGCTGAGTGTAAAGACTGGGATTCTCTCTCTCTCTCTGACCCTCCCCTGCTTGAGAACACTCTTTCTTTCTCTCTCTCAAAATAAATAAATAGACATTAAAAAAGAGAAAGAAATCTAAAGTGACTTCTTTGTATATCAGGTTTTTAGAGCTTTTTTCATATATATATAATTAATAAGGTAAATATTGATTTTCAGATTTTTAAAAATTGTATTTAATTTTATTATTTTTATCTTTAAACTTTTAAACAAATCTTTTTATAAGTTTATGTATTTATTTTGAGAGAGAGAGAACGTGTAGGGAAAGGGCAGAGAGGAGGAAGGGAGAGAATCCGACGGGATTCTGGGACTCATGAACTGCCAGATCATGACCCCAGCCAAAGTTGTATGCTTAACTGATTGAGCCATTCAGGCACCCTTGATTTTCAGATGTTAAATCAACTTTGCATTCTGGGGATAAAACCCATTTAGTCATGGTGTTTTATACTTTTTATATATTATTGAATTCCATACGCTGAAAATTTTTTTTGTAATTTTTTTTAATGTTTACTTTTGAGAGAGAGAGAGAGAGCAGGGGAGGGGCAGAGAGAGAGAGTGAGACACAGAATCTGAAGGAGGCTTGAAGCTCTGAGCTCTTAGCACATATCCTGACTCGGGGCTTGAACTCACAAACTGTGAGATCATGACCTGAGCCAAAGTTCGCCACTTAACCAACTGAGCCACCCAGGTGCTCCCATATGCTAAAATTTTGTTAATATTTTTATGTCTATGTTCATGAAAGATGTGGGTCTAGTTTTTTCTTTTGTAATATATTTATCTATCTGATTTGTTATATCAGGGTAATGCTGGTGGCATAGGATGAATTGGGAAGTATTCTCTCCTATTTTTTGTAAAAGTTTGTGTAGAATTAGTATTATGTCTTCCTTAAATTTTTGGTAGAATGTACCAAGACTGGAACTGGGGACTGTGGGGACAGGTGGCTTAAGTACAAATGCAACTTCTGTAATATATATTAGAGTTATTTAGGTCATCTATTTTTTCATGAGTGAACTTTCATAATTTATATCCTTCAAGGAATTTTCCCATTTCATGTATGTTGTTGAATATATTGGCACAGGTTTTTGTAATATTCTGTTTATCCTTTTAATATTTGTAGAATCTGCAGTGAGTCATCTCTCTTATTTACAAATTGTAAATTTGTGTTTTTTTCCTAATTAGTTTGTCTAAAGGGTGATCAGTTTTATTGATTTTTTTTCCTAAAAACCAGATTCATTGACATTCTATTTTTTTATTTCTATTAATTTCTGCTCTTACTTTTATTATTTACTGTCTTCTGATTATTTGGGGCTTAATTTGCTTTTCCTTCTTTGGTGTTTCTATGGTGGAAACTTAAGTTTTTGATTTTAGACTTTTCTAATATAAGCAGTTACTGCTTAGAGAGCTGTACATCGCCTCATGCAATGCCCAGAGTTAGAGGCTGGAAGCAGAAGAGAGGTGACGGCAAGGGGAAGACACTGGCCAGCTGGCCCAGGAGTCAGAGACCTAGTTTTTTGTTTTTGTTTTTTAAAGAGAGAGAGAAAGGGAGTGTGAATGCGTGAACAGGGGAGAAGGGCAGAGGGAGAGAGAGAGATTGAGAGAGATTGAGAGAGAGAGAGAGAGAGAATCTTAAGCAGACTCCATGTTCTGTACAGAGACAACTCAGGGCTCAGTCCCATGACCTTGGGATCCTGACCTGAGCTGAAATCAAGGGTGGGATGCTCAACCGACTGGGCAACCCGGTGCCCCAGAGACCTAGTTTTCACTAGCCATTCATAAGCTTTGTGACTTTGGACTTCAGACTTTCTAAGCCTCAGTTTCTCTGCCTGCATAATGGAGCCAGGGTAATCTCCTCTTGGGCTATTGGAGATGAAGTACTTAATGTATACGACTGTATGTGACACCTGGAAGGTCTCCTCAGACCAATGTGAAGGGTGGTGTCATAACATTTGTGATCATAACGGCTTCTTCTGTCTTTTCAGAACTGGAAACAGCATGTATACGCACCTCCCCCAGAGGTAGGCTGAACCCCCTCCCCTCGCACCCCTGCTCCGCCCCCAAGGGCTCCTCAAGGCTCCCCTCACCCCCACACTGCAGCCCCGGGGCCTGCCCAGCTCTCTCTGCTTGGGTCTACTCCTCACGGGCCCGGCCAGCACCGCCAACCCTCTTCCCTCCTGCAGCGGCTCTCCGTTCCCAGCGTCGGTGCAGGATCCCGGCCTGCATGTCTGGCGGGTGGAAAAGCTGAAGCCAGTGCCGGTGGCGCGTGAGAACCAGGGCGTCTTCTTCTCGGGGGACTCCTACCTAGTGCTGCACAACGGCCCGGAGGAGCTGTCCCACCTGCACCTGTGGATAGGTCGGGGAGCTGGGGGACGAGTTGGGGGTGTGGCCTGGGCCGGAGTCGGAGCCGGCAGGGGTCTCACGGGCCTGGCCCTGCCACCTCCCCTCCTCCCCCCCCCCCCCCAGGCCAGCAGTCCTCCCGGGATGAGCAGGGGGCCTGTGCCGTGCTGGCGGTGCATCTCAACACCCTGCTCGGGGAGCGGCCCGTGCAGCACCGAGAGGTGCAGGGCAATGAGTCCGACCTCTTCATGAGCTACTTCCCGCGGGGCCTCCAGTACCAGGTAGGCGCCCGCCTCCCAGCACCCTTACCCTGTGGCTCCCCTAAGAGCCCCTCCTCCTTCCGGTCAGCTCTCACCCTGCAGAAAAGGGCCAGGCGCCCGCCGGGAGTGTGGGGAGTGTGGGCCGCGGGCTGCGGGCCTTCTGTCGTGCTCTCGCGCTCTCAGCGGGGCTCTCAGGTCATCCCGTCTGGGCTGCAGGAAGGCGGAGTGGAGTCAGCGTTTCACAAGACCTCTCCCGGGACCGGTCCAGCTGCCATCAAGAAGCTCTACCAGGTGAAGGGGAAGAAGAACATCCGTGCCACCGAGCGGCCGCTGAGCTGGGACAGCTTCAACACCGGGGACTGCTTCATCCTGGACCTGGGCCAGGTTCGCAGGCAGGACGGGGCTGAGGCTGTACCTCCACCCGCTCGCTAGGCAGGCGCCAGGGACTGGGAGGCCGGGGAGAGGAGGGAGAAGTCACTCCAGCCATTAGCAAACAGCTTATGTTCAAAAGGACAGAAACCTCCCTCTGCCATCCAGCCAGTGTCTAACACTGGAGCCTACTCTCTTCTTCTCGAGGAGTCTTCGTAGCCCTGTTAGCTGCCAGGCAGACCAGTTGTTAATTTTGTTCACTCCGTGAGTCTGATGCCTACCCTCAGCCCCCTTGGGGACCACGAATTGCCTGCCCCGGGGAGGCAGCCAAGACAGGCCCGTCACTTGCTGTAATGCATGGGAGGATGTGATGAGGGCTCTGAGAGAAGCAGGGGCATGTGCTGAGGGAGCTTGGGGCAGGGCGAGGTCCCTCTAGCCTGGGCCGAAGCCCTTGTCCCAGGAAGGTGCCGTTTGACCAGACCTTTATGGAGGCAGAAATGCCTTTCGAGGTGAAAGGACAGGTGAACCGAAGCTGAGGCACTGAGGTGGGGGAAGGTGCAGATATGCATGCCGGCAGCAAGGAAGCAGCTAGCCTAACTGGGAGCCTGAGTGGGGACAGGAGCCGTGGGAGCAAAAATTGTTAAGTTGCCTGAGACCTAGGTCAGGAGACTGTCGGAGGAGTCCAGACCACATCCCGTGCTGAAGGTTTGAGGCGGGAAGCCAACCCTGAAGCAGTTTGGAAGGAGGGTTGGCAGCAGTGAGTTAGAAGGAGGGGACCAGCTGCTCGGTACGGTGCAGGTAGCAATGTGAGATGCTGGGCTCAAGGATGGCATTCACCCTTTCACCCTTTCATTCATTCATTCATTCAATACTTATTTGTGCCTAAATATATGCCAGTCTCTGTTTCAGTACTGGGCATGCAGCAGTGAACAAAGCAAAGCAAGACAAAATAAACCACCCCAGGCCTAATGAAGCTTACTTTCTAGCCAGCGGAGCTAGATTACCAACAAGATAAAGACCTTTAAGTACATGTGGATAAGCAATGTGGAGAAACATAAATCAGGAGGGAGATGGCAGCTGGGCAGAGAAATACTCTTGCAAAGAGTGTTGTGTATTTGATGATCTTGACTCAGGGGGCAGTTCATTCCCGCCCCCCCCCCCCCATCCAGTCAAGAGGATGGATGCAGGCAGCTGAGCCTCTCTACTTCCTTCCAGAACATCTTCGCCTGGTGTGGTGGAAAGTCCAACATCCTGGAGCGCAACAAGGCACGGGACCTGGCCCTGGCCATCAGGGACAGTGAGCGACAGGGCAAGGCCCAGGTGGAGATTGTCACTGATGGGGAAGAGCCCGCTGAGATGATCCAGGTTGGGGGACATTAGGGTGGGCAGCTGGGAGAAGCTAGGGTGAGGCGGGTGGTCAGTAGAGGATGGCAGGGGTGGGTGTGGGTGGTCTGGGGTACAGTTTAGGGCTGTGGCTAGCTCACTGGTGCCCTCGTGTGACTCAGATAAAATATCCCTCTGGGTGGATGGCCCAGCGGCCTGGCAGGTGGGCTGGGGTGGACTCAGCCTGTACTCACCTCTGCCGGGTGCCCTTGTGCAGGACACAGTTTGTCCCCTGCCAGAGGTGGTGGCCTTGGGCATGGTGGGTTGGGAAGGTCTGGGGCAGGTGCCCAGAAATCCCTGGAAACCTGGCCTGCCCTGGCCCCTGTAGGTCCTGGGTCCCAAGCCTGCTCTGAAGGAGGGGAATCCTGAGGAAGACCTCACGGCTGACCGGACAAACGCCCAGGCCGCAGCTCTATATAAGGTGGGCGCTGTGGGCCTGCGCTGTGCCCAGGCAGGCCTTGCTGAAGGGAGAGGAGAAAACCCTGGGAAGGTTGAGCTGGGTGGCACAGCGGTTTATTTGGGGCTTAGCGCGAGGGGAGGATGGGCAATGGACAGATGTCCGGCCCTCTTGAGGAGCCACTTCACTTGTGGCCCGTTGTTGGAGAAGGAGGTGTGAAGCCAATGCCGAGCTTTACTTTTTCGGATTCTTTGCGTTCATTTGTAATTTGGAATCCACCTAATTTGCGGATGGACGCAGGGCCTCCGTGCTGCACTGTGATGTGAGGGCTGGGGTGCCTACCATCTGCCCGTCCATGCCATCTGCCCTGTCTCCTCCGACTGGGGCCGTGGTGTAGGGCTAGAGGTTTGGGCTGTGTGTCGGGGGTGGGGGGTAGGATTTGGCACTGCCCACCCTCCCCCAGGTCTCCGACGCCACTGGACAGATGAACCTGACCAAGGTGGCCGACTCCAGTCCCTTTGCCCTTGAGCTGCTGCTATCTGATGACTGCTTCGTGCTGGACAATGGGCTCTGTGGCAAGATCTACATCTGGAAGGGTACGTGTGCCTTCTCCAGGCTAGCCTGAGGCTGTGCCAGCTGCTCGGAGCTGGGCACGCTTCCCACTGGAGGGCTCAGCCTGCCTGACTGCTTTCAAAAACAGCCCCACAGAGCCGCTGAGGGCTTTCTCTGTGCTATTCTCGGCCCCCCTAAAGTCCAGGCAATGGTTCTGAAACTTAAGCATGCTTTAGAATCACCGGAAGCCCTCTTAAAACAAAAGGCTACCCCTCCCCCACCCCCGAGTTTGGATACCTAACTGGTTCCCAGTCCCTGTTGCTGGTCCAGGAGCACATTTTGAGGACCACAGTCCTAGAACACTCTAGACCTTCAGGGCTGCTGGGACCCCAGTCTTGCCATTCTGCCTGTGGGGTGTGACAGAGAAATTTTAGGTAAATTAAATCCCACTTTGTGCGCTGGGTAATAAACTAGTGGAACTTGTTTTTCCAAGAGATTGTATTGGTTGGAGATAGAAACACTGTTGTGTGTAAACTTGTCTGCTTGGTTTAACTCTGAAAATATTGAAACAAAGCTCGGAGCTTCTGAGTGACCCTGGGAGCCTCCTTACTTCTCCATGCTTGTCTTTTCTTGAGCGTGTCTTACCTCCCCGACCAGATTATAAATTTCCAGAAAGCAGAACTGTATCATCTCTAGTGTTGTGACTAAATAGCATTTGCTCAATAGATATTTGTGGGGGCAACCAAAGCCAAGAGAAACCCCCCGGCTCTGGTCTGGTTAGGAAGATGGGGAAGGATGAGGTGTTCTAAGGATCGCTGCTACTAGCCCGTAATACTCCTGCCTTGGGGAAGGCATGGCAGCTTTCTACGAGCTGGGTGGGGATGAGTGGAGATTGGGGCTGCCACGGGGTACCTTTCCCATGGGACCAATTCCAAGCATGAGAGGTTCCCAGATGCCCATGGAAGGGAATTTAACCCCAAGCAAAGAACCAAACCATTTTGGAAAGAGAAACCAGAGAAGACAAAAACCAACCAAAGAAGAAATTTGGGAGCCAAGAAGAGAAGTATCTTGCCTTCACCTGGAATATAGCTTGCATTAAAGGGGCTGCCCACAGGAGGGAATGGATAACTGGATGGGCTTCCTTTTAATAAGGTCTTAGGGGGCATACCTAATGGCCTGCGTACCCATTAGGCCGATGTTGGCTATCTGGCATTATGGGAGGAAGACTGTAAGAAATCACACCCTTTTGTCCTATTTAGTTTTACACAAAAGGCTTGATACTTGTTGATTCTTGTCATCAGCATGGTTGACAGGCTCCAGAGGCGAGGTGTCCTGGGGCAGGGCTCTAGATTTAGAGTCTCATACCCTGGGGAACACTGGTTCTCTCTGAATATTCGTGGGCCCCTGGTCCGAGCAGAAGGTTTTGATCAGAGGAGGCTGAAAGAGCAGTTTCATGTCACTTGGAACTTCTGTGTGGAGAGAAGTCACAAGGGGTTGACCTCACACCCCCAAAGACCTCCTCAGCATCTTGGAGCCTCTTGGTCCGTTTACTTAAAACATGGCTGGCTATTCTATGGACCTCCCCTGAAATTTCCTTGAGAAAATGGAATGTGGGGGCGCCTGGGTGGCCGTCCCCTTCGGCTCAGGTCATGATCTCACAATTCGTGGGTTCGAGCCCCGCGTCGGGCTTTGTGCTGACTGCCAGCTCAGAGCCTGGAGCCGTTTTCAGATTCTGTATCTCCCTCTCTCTCCGACCCACCCCGCTCACGCTGTCTCTCTCTCTCTCTCTCAGAAATAAATAAAACATTTAAAAAAATTAAAAAAAAAAAAAGAAAATGGAATGTGGACTAGAGAGAGTCCCCACTCTTAAAAAAGAAAAAAAAAAAAACCCTTCCTATTTACCCAGGGCGAAAAGCTAACGAGAAGGAGCGGCAGGCAGCTCTCCGGGTGGCAGAGGACTTCATCTCTCGCATGCGCTATGCCCCCGACACTCAGGTGAGGAGATGCCTTGAGCCCCATCTCCTCCTCCCGCGCCCTTCTGGTGGCCTCTTGCCCCAAGGACTGGACAAGAAAGGCGGGAACTCCTCGAGCACAGTCTGGAGCAGTCTGAGCCTCCACCATCTGGTGGGAAAGCCCCTCTTAATCCTTCAACATTTAACAGCAAGAGGATGTTGGGCAGCACCTCCCTGGCAGCCCAGAGAGCCTGGTGGGCCTTTGGAGGGATTATGTGTCTCCTCTGGGCCACTGTCCCCGGCTTGAGCTGCCCGTTGGGCCAGCACGGTGGCTCCATGAGTCCTTCTGAGGGGAGCTGGGAAGGCTCATCTGTGACTAGCGCGTCTATCAAACTGCACGCAAGCTCTTGAAGCAGTTGGTTTTCTCAGTTCACGTCCCTGTAATCTTTCTCGTCTCTTGGCACTCCTGGCCTGGACAGCCACGTGGACTCAGGCCTGGGGTGCAGCACCGTCCTCTGTGGCTCTGGCCTCGCCTGGTGGAATCTTGTGGGCTACACTTCTCCCCCGTTCTTTCTGCAGGTGGAGATTCTGCCCCAGGGCCGCGAGAGTCCCATCTTCAAGCAATTCTTCAAGGACTGGAAATGAGGGTGGGTGTCTCCCGGCCCCTGGCCTCCTGCCTGCTTTCTCCTGCTCTGGCTGCCCGGTCGGTGCTGAGGTGCCCCTGAGGATGTTCAATAAAGGAGACAAGTGCTTCCCCAGCTCTCTGCTCTCAGCTGATTCTCACTTCCCACCCATCCACCAGGGCTTAGCCACGTGCTGGGGCAGAAGAGGACCCAGTGGCGATCTCCCAGTCCACTGACTTTGCATCGAGGCAGAGGGGCCAGGAGTCCCCAGTGGGCACCCGGCAGGTATTGCTGTGAACCCAGTAGGGAAGCCACACAGCACCGGGCCTCAGGGTTGCTTTCAGCCAGGAGTTCGGTTCAGCCACACATTCCCAACTGGGACGAGATTATGGCAACCGACTCGGGATGTATTTCCTTTCGAGCCAGTATTTCCTCAGCTGCCCTAATAAACCATTGTGAGGTGGCTTCCAGATGACATGCTTGCCGATCAAGAGGACAAGAACAACTTCTCGCTGCTGTGCAGAAGTCTGGCCTGTCACCTCACAGGCACATTGCATCATGTTAGGCCTATGAGCACAGGGCCCCTGTAGGGCTGAGGGAAAGTGCCATGAGGGTGGGGAGTCACGGCTTCTGGTTCTCCCCGTCTCTATTTCATCCTGGGTGAGTTGCTTTACCTCGCGTCTAGGCTTTAGTTCATTCTCTTGTACAATGATGCAATGGCTGGAATATCAAAGAGGCTAGATAGCCAAATAGGAGAACAGTCACCCAAAGTGGTCCTACCCTGGAAGGCAGGATCTGGGTGGGAAAGAGCAAGTATGGGTAAGCCTGGACTCAAGTTCATAAGGCGAGGCAGGGCTGTGGCTATCCTGACCCACCCTCATCCCTGGGATCCAAGTGCTCTATGGCTTCTGAGCTCTCACCTGCTGGATTCTTCCATCCCAAACAAATTCTGATCAAGTTCATCTTGTTGATGTTGTGCAAAGCAGCACAAAGTCACCTCCCCTGCACAGCATCTCCAGCCTTCCCTCAGTGGAGCTGTCAGCTGATACAGACAGCATGTGGCAGTGATGATTTGTAAAGGAGAGAGAGTGAGGGCTGCATCAAATCCGTGGCTCTGACATTGTTGGGGTGGTGAAGCATTTCAGGTCTCCCATGGAAGGCCTACATAGGCCCTTCCCAAGAAAACAGCACAGGTTAAGATCTTTGCATCTATTGTCAGAGTGTTTCAGTCCCCTGCCTCCTTCCCCAACAGAACCAGAACTTAATCCCTGGACTGTGTTCTTGGTAATGTCCCAAAGTTGAACGAGCACCCTGGAGAGCATTACACAGGAAGTGACTTGGTTAGAAAGGGCTGCCACCCTCCAGCTAGAGGCCCGTGCGCACTGCTTCCCTGAGCCTGCCACAACCTGGGCACTCACCACCGGCTCTGCTGAGTTAGGCTTCGGCCTGAGAGCCAGCGGAAGGAATCTGAGGGAAGGAACTACGGAACCTGATTCTCAAGTGGGGGCTGAGCTGTCGCCTTTCTGTACTCCGGCTCTACCGAGCCCAACAAAGCTCCCTGCCACCCTTGCAGGCCAGCTAAGCACCCAGACTGGAGGAAGAAAAGTGGACAAAGGATTAGTTCAGGTCTGGCCAAGACAGTGCTGTGTGACTCAAACTGCAGAGTCGTGGCATCTGCTGATAGCAGGGGGAGTCCCCCGCTGTTTCCTGCTTGGTGGCTAGCTGTCATCCCCACCTCTGTGATGGGCCCCAGCTCCAGGGGGTTAGACTCAGAGAGGCCTGCGAGGCTTGGACAGTGGTCTTCAGTGGGTCTACTGGAAGGAGTACAGAGGACAGGAACAGTGCTGTGGGGTCTTGGCTGCCCCCTGCTGCCCAGCTAAGGATACCGTGGCCTGGAGGAACGGAGCCACAGAGCTACCAGCTTCCCAGAAGCACGCATAGGAAAAACACGTGGATGCCTCTTAGCAACCTTCATGGCAGCTAGGGCCACGTGGCCCACTGGCTGTGGAGTGTGGGAGGCGTCCCTGGGCCTGTAAGTGCGGGATGGACACCTATGCCCTCAGCAGGAGCGTGGCCAGGGCAGAGCAGCCTTCCCTTGGAGCGTGGGGCCGGTGCCTTCCCTGAGCTGGAGCACCTGGCTCTAACCAGGCTTGTCCTGGAGGAAAACACTTGGGGTCCTTGGCCTAGGACAAGTCTTTTATTCAAAAGCTGCCGGAGTGTGAATTTCCTCCATCATCCAGGCCAGTAAAGCACCCCTGGTGGGAACCATGCACCTTCACAGGGTGGGGTTTGTGCCGTAGTGGGGTGCCCAGCTGGTGGGCGGTGGGGATGGGCAGCAATGGAGACACCCAGCTGAAAGCTTTTGGAACCTTAACAGCGGGGCAGAGGCATGGGGAGCCGAGGGTGGGGTAAGTGTGAGGCCAGAAATCCCAGAGGGGTCCTGCAGCAGCAGCCAGTGGAGGAGGGGAAGGCTCTTGCTCTGGTTCATGCTGCCCCCTGTTGGCTGCTGCCACTGCTATTCCCTTCAAATGCTAGCCACAGGGTCCCTGTCCTGTGGGCACCCGGGGCCTGAAAGCCTGATGCCCCAGGAGTCAGAATTCTGGCGGCCTCTGTGTGGGTGTATCTTTCAATGTGCGGATACACAGAACAGCCAGGAAGGGCTTTCCCGCCTCATGATCCATTCACTCACTGGGATTACCTGGAAACCAGCTCTAAACTAGCCCAATTCCAACTGTGGCAAGTTCATTGCTCTGGAGGCTGGTCTGCGGGGTGTGGCACGAGTCTAACTATCCCTAACGTCCCTCGTGGGTGAGGGTCCGCGGCTTCCCCAAGCAGGCCCAGCCAGTGTGTACTCGGCATAATGTGCCCTATGTACTTCCAAAGGCCATGTGGTCCAGCAGTTAGGTCTTGCTGTCAGCCTCTGGTCGGTCAGATCAGTCGTGTGCCTGTGGATGAATGTGGTGGCAGGTCACACACGCCTGTGAAGGTGAGATCCTTGGAGTGAGGCGCTTGTGGCCCATAGCACTTCTGTGTTCCCAACGAGGAGGCCTGTCCCTTTGCCACTCCAGCCAGGTAGATTTCCAGGGTTTTGAGCAGCCGCCTCGGGCTCTTCTTGGCCAACACTTCCAAGTCTGGAACAGAGGAATGAGAACAAAAGGCTTGAGGGCGTTTTGCACTGCACACCAGTCCAGGCCTAGCAGCTCTGGGGTGGGGGGCACCCCCAGCCCAGACCCCGTGGCGACAAGGGTGAAAGAGTCCAAGGTGGAGAGCTCTCCAGAGAGGGAGGCTGACGGACCATGTAAGCCACAGGAACTACTCATTCTACCTTGGCCAGGACAGTCTCAACTCTGAATGGTCAGGCCAACTGTTGGACCCAGCTTTTGATTCAGTAAATATGATCTGAAGTTAGAAGGGGAGGAGAGGTGGAGAGAAAGGATGACCAGCAGACTCCAGTGGGTGGGCTGATGGAGATTTTGGGAAGCTGGAGTTTGAGAAGGTGTGAATGGGAGGGACCAGGTAGGGAACCGTAACCCAAACCTAGCAACCATGCTGGGGTCCCTGAACGTGGGGACCTTAGGAGTTCAGACCTCCCCACGAAGAAAGAGCACACCTTTGAGGACAAAGCCGGAGTCAGCGATGGTCTTCTGCTGAGTCCTCCAAACGTGTGCGAGGCGGAGGAAGGTGGCGGCGTAGAAGCTGTTCACCACTGGGATCACTTTCTGCTGCCGGTTACACTCCCTACAGCAGAAGGAGGGTGACCCGTTCTGCAGCACACAAGCTGACAGCTAGGTGCCTCCCACCCTCTGTTCCCCCAGGGAGCCATTCCTCAGGCAGCCTGCACCTCTGGGGCTGGACTCTGTTGGGGCTCCGGGAGGGGGAGACTGGGGGAGAATGGGGCAGGAGTGGGAGGGAACCAGGCTCTGCTGGGTCGCTCTCCTCACCCGGGTGGGGGTGACCAATGTGGGGACTCACCTGGAAAGACACTCCTCCCTTAAGGCCTGGATTGTGATGCGGGTGATATTCACGGACATCAAACAGAAGGGGAATTGCTGGAATGGAGCGGGCACAGAGTCAGGGACAGCCTGGCTCTTCACACGTTAATTTGCATTGTTGCACATACCCCAAGGACACCCCCTGAGAGGCACACACAGGTCAGTACACTCCTTAGTTGGGAGTAAGAGCCAAAGTCTCTTTATCCCATCTGCTTCCCCTGAGAAGGAAAAGCCATCACATTATGATGCAGAACTGTGTGTGCTGTCTAGTATGGTAGCAGACAGCCACACAGAGCTACTTAAATTAGTTAAAAATTAGGGGTGCCTGGGTAGCTAGGTCAGTTAAGCATCGGACTTCAGCCCAAGTCATGACCTCACAGTTTGTGAGATCCAGCCCTATATCAGGCTCTGCACTCTCTCTCCCCCTCTCTTGACCCACTTGTGTTCTCTCTCTTTCAAAATAAGTAAACAAACTTAAAAAACATATAGTTAAAAAATTAAACATAATTAAAAATCAACTTCTTGGGGCGCCTGGGTGGCTTAGTCGGTTGAGCGTCCGACTTTCGCTTGGGTCATGATCTCGCGGTCCGTGGGTTCGAGCCCCGCGTCGGGCTCTGTGCTGACTGCCAGCTCAGAGCCTGGAGCCTGTTTCAGTCTGTGACTCCCTCTCTCTCTGACCCTCCCCTGCTCATGCTGTCTCTCTCTCTCTCTCCTAGAAATAAATAAAACATTTAAAAATAAATAAATAAAAAAAAGTAAAAATGTTGAGTTGAATCATGTATTCCAGGCTGCTGGAAACCCCTGCTTTATTCAGAGTAAAATCAAAAGTCCTTCCCATAATCTAGCAGGCCTTCTGCCATCCAGTGCCCATCAGTCATATGACCTCCCTTCTGAGTGCTCCTCTGTGATCCTTCCAGTCCGGCTGGCTCTCTGGTGCCCCTTCATGTGCCAGACACACTCCTTCCTCAGTGCCTGTGCTCTTGCTGCTCCTCTGTGTGGAATGCTCTCCCCAGATACCAACTGGGTCAACACCTTCACCTCCTTCAAGGTCTGGTTTAAGTCCCACCCTCTCATAAGAGGGACCCTGAGCACCCTAACCTTACCCCACCTGTTCTTTCTCCTTAGCACTTATCACCTTTGAGC